CCCCCCCCCCCCCCCCCCTTACCAAACCCCGTTTCTCAATTCGTTCCTTCTGCCGTGATACCTTCCTTCCTTCGCTCGTTCGCCCTCACCAGTCACCACACAATGTCGTATGCACGGATAGTCCTGCAGTACGTAACTTGTGTTGTTGACTGCATATGTTCCTGTTCCGTTGGCCGATGTTCACGATGAATGACGGGGTCCCTTGCAAGTTCATAGGGAAAAGAAGTAGACTAAAAACTCTAGCTACATTCATGATGCGAGCCATGTCGCTTTTCATCCATCATCGTTGGTTCAATTCATTTTTGTTCTTATCTACCGTAGGCACTTGCCCGCCTCTTAGGTCCCCCTCCTCCCCCCCAACAGCAAAAGAAAAAAGTTTCTTTGGTCTGTTTTCCTCTCCTTTTCCCTAAAACCTGCACTACAGAACATGAGATCATAGTCAGACCCTCGTTGTCCTTCCCAACCAACCTCGAACTCACCCACAGGTTCAAGACACCGGTCCAAGGTGGACCAACAACTGGGCCTCGACCATGACCATCACAACCACGGGAGACATCACGGCCAAGATGCTCGACTCCGAGACACAACATAATGTGCCTCAACAACACCCAAAACCACCACCACCTCCACAACCGCCACAAGACCCTCCAGCATCAAATTACCCCCTCTCCTCCACAGATGACGTCTCCTCAAGCTCCCTCTCCAAACCACCAGTTAACGAACCCTCTCGACAACATGGCCGTCGCCACTCCTCCTCCTCCTCCTCCCTATCCCACAACGCCTCCGGCTCAGCAAGCAGCACCTCCCTATCCACAGGTCACATCTCAGCCCTGCACCACCACCAAGACGAAATAGTCTCCATCGAAAACGCCACGCGCCTATCGACAGTACAAACCCGCACATCCACCTTCTCCTCGGCCTCCCACCCCCCAGACTACGAAGTCGTCTTCGGCCCTGACGACCCTGAAAACCCCAAGAACTGGCCTTTGTGGTACCGCTGCTGGACCATCTTTGCGTGCTCGTACAGCACGTGGGTGGTTGTGCTTTACAGCTCATCGTACACGGCCATTGTCCCGGGGCTGATGAAGGAGTATCATGTTACTAACCAGCCGGTGGCCACGCTGGGGCTGACGACGTACCTGTTTGGTCTGGCGTTTGGGTGTCTTGCGCTGGCACCGCTGAGCGAGCTCTATGGACGCAGGCCGATTTATTTGGTTAGTTTGGGGGTGTTTGCGCTGCTGATTTTGCCGTGCGCGATGCCGAGTAGTTTGGCGGAGATTATTATTGTGAGGTTCTTTGGGTATGTTTTTTTCTCTTTCTCTCTTTCTTTCTTTGTTCCCGGGTGTGTTACGTTGTCGAATGATGAGGAGACTGTGAGTGAGAAAGTGGATGAGCAAGTAAGATGCTGACTTAAACCCAAAAAACAGCGCCCTTTTCGGAGCAGTAATGGTCTCCAACTCTCCCGCCACGGTGGTCGATATCGCCCACCCGGACTACCTCGCGCTGTGCATGGCCGTCACTTCCATCGCGCCCCTCAACGGTCCCGTCACCGGTCCTTTAATCGGGGGATTCGCCTACCAATACCTCGGTTTCCGATGGGCCAACTGGATCGTCCTGATCCTTTCGGGCGCAGCAGTGATCTTCATGGCCACCATCCGCGAGACCTACGCGCCCGCCATCTTACGCGCCAAAGCCGCCCGCCTGCGCAAAGAGTCCGGCGACGATCGGTACTGGTCGCGCTTCGACCAGAAAGTGTCCACCATCCAGCTCCTCAAAACGAACCTCTCCCGTCCCTTCATCCTAGCAGCCACGGAACCGATCCTCTGGTTCTTCAACACGTGGATCTCCCTCGTCTACGCCATTTTATATCTCTGCTTCGTCGCCTACCCCATAGTCTTCAAAGAACACCGCGGGTGGTCTACGGGGCAAGTCGGCCTGGCCTTTTTGGGGATGGGGTGCGGCACCGTCGCCTCCATTGTTTTGGAGCCCTTCTGGCGGAGCATCATTAACAAGCGCCACTCCAAGTACGACCCCGAAACTGGCCGTCCTGCCCCCGAAGCACAAGCGTACGTGATGACCATCGGCGCCATCCTCACAGCCTTCGGCCAGCTAGCGTTCAGCTGGACTTGTCTTCCCATAAAAATTCACTGGATAGTGCCCATCATTTTCGGTGTTCCCTTTGGCATGGGCAATACCATTTCTTTTATCTACGGGTCAAACTATCTAGCGGGCGCGTACGGGTTGTACGCAGCTTCTGCTTTGGCGGCTAATTCGTTTTTGCGATCCGTGGCGGGCGGGGTTTTGCCATTGGCGGGACCGAGCATGTATCGCAACTTGACGCCGCAGATTGCTGGCACAATTCTCGGTGTGCTGGAGGTGTTGTTGATTCCCATTCCCATTGTCTTTTATAAATATGGGGAGAGGATTAGAGGGCGGAGTAAGGTTATTAGGACTATGAGAGAGGAACAGGCTAGGGAGGATAAGAGACGGCTGAGGCAGGGGGAGAGGGTTAGGAGGAGGTGTGCTGGGGAGAAGGATGAGGAGGAAGGTGTGGAGGGTGGGGTGATAGGGATGGAGACGGAAAGAGCGACGGCGACGGGTGAGGGGGAGGTTAGTGGTGAAGGAGTGGTTGTGCCTTCCTCTTTGGGGACTTCGGGGACGTTGGGGCAGGAGAAGACGGTGAAGAGCGGGAAGGGTGATGATGCTGTTTGATGATTTATGTTTGAAGGATGTTATGGAAAGAGCGGAGTATTAACTTGGGTAAAAACTTAATGATTGATGAGCGAGTTGAAATGAAAAGCGATTAACTTGCACATATGATGATGGAACCGTGATGTAATTGTGCCCATGTCCGATACCACTAGTTTTCTTTTAGTCCGATTTCCTATTTCATTCGGTCTTAGCTACCTTAGGTATTATCCCATCGATGATAAATTTAAGCCAGGTCCGATGAAAGAAGGTAGGTAAGGCGACACGAGATGGGATGATGAGTACCTTTCACAACTCCTTACTTGTTCAACACACTTCAGTTACACTACCAAAGTCCATATCAGCTAACCTTCAAATTATGAACTGTAGCGGTCTGTGTTTTGTAAGAAGAATAAGGTTGCATGCTATAGGTTGAGATATTATATTTGTATGGATGAAAATAGAAAGACACAAGGTTAATCAAGCACCTTGGCTAACGGCATCTAGCTTCCTTTGTCGGCGATCAATGAGCAAGTGGAAACGAAGACTTTTCCGAATGATCACGGAGTATGGTAGATAGGTGTCTAGTTCTAGCACCGACAACTGGTACCGCATTCCAAAGTCTTGTTAACACTGGGGTGTGATAGTTACGGTTACTTATATCATCGAAGCTCGATCGTATCGTATCATGCGTCGTTTTGAAACAAGAATTTACCTAACTGCTGCATGTTCAAGGTTTGGTGATGTTGAGGGAGAACTTGGTCCACATCGAGCTTCATAAGCCATGTACAACCCAGGAAAGCGATCGATTTGCCGGACAACTTGAATGTATATAGAATTGCAATTCGACTCCAGAGGGTATGAAACCAACCGTACCAGCCAGAAAATCAGTGATCCGCGCCATCCATCCATCCATCCATCCATACTGTCCTGTCCTGTCCTGTCCTGTCCGGTGCCTGGCCAGCCAGTCAGTGCCTAAATATCCCATTCCACTCCCAATCAGAGAAGCCCAAAGAAATGAGACGACCCTTTCCTTCCAAGCCTGTCTGTCAGTCATCCAAGTTTCCATCCTTTCTTTTACTTTGCTTTTTTTCCTTTCTTTTTCTCCCACCAACTTCTCCCAACCCCCTATCAGCGATCACAACCCCCTCCACTTCTCCTTCCACCCGCCCTTCTCAAACAACCACATCGCCTCAATTGCATAAGCCCTCACACTAACACTACCCACCCCCTCCTCCACGCCCGCCGCCTCCCCAATAGTCTCCAACACCCTTCCCTCCTGGAAACACCTCCACAGCCCAAACGCCAAATCATCCTCATCGCCACCCCTCCCTCCCGCGCCCGTGCCCCACTCCCCTTTGCCCAAACGGAACAACATCCTTCCCAACGTCCTAAACGCGATACACCTCTGACTGTTTACACTACTCCTCGCCAATCGCGCCAGCTCAGGAATGGTATACCCGGCAGCCTCGGGGGCTTCGCCGTGGTGATGCAATCCCTTTGAGACGGGGATCTGGCGAGACAAACGGGGCGGGATGAGGCGGCCTTTGAAGTCGAAGCGTAGGGCTGAGACGGGGAGCGAGGATTGGCCGGGGTAGTAAGGGGATTCTTGGTCGGCGGGCGAGTCTTCGGTGGGGATGGGGGCCATCCAGGCGAGTTTTGAAGGGTCGGCGGGTAAAGAGGGGAAGAATTTTTGGTGCAGCGTGGCGAGGAAGTCAGGGTCTGAAGGGTCGAGGTCGGGAGGGGCGGGGGCGGCGGGGAAGTGAACGCCTTTATGGTCTTCATCCTCAGTGCCGTGGTTGTGGGATGGGTCGGTGCAGGGCGTGGTGGGAGTTTGTGGTTCGGAAGATCCTGCGGTCGGGGAGGTGGGTGTGGCGAGGTCTTCCTCCGAGAAGCAGGTCTTTTGAGGGTAAGGTGTGGGAGGCTGTTTGGTTCGGATGGGGAAGCTGCCGCGGGGAGGTTGATCGGGGGCGAGGTCTTCGTTGAAGGTGACGGTCTTTTTGGGTTTCGTTGGTTGTTCGGTCTCTTCTTGTTCGTCTTCTACGTATGCGCTTTTCGAGGTGGAAGTCTGGATCGAGGGTGGCTTCTTGTGATGGATGGTGGGAGCACTATCGTTTTCCTTCTTTTCGGTCGGCTCTTCGGTGGGTTTCTCGATCGGTTTCTCGGGAATGTCCCAGACTTTGGGGTCGTTGTTGTTGGAGCCGTCCTCGACATTGGCTCGTCGGAGAAGCATCTGGATAAGTCTAGGGTCGAGGCCGTTGAACAACTCGCGTTGGGCTTCGGCAATCTCTTCTGGCGACATGGAGCTCAGTAGCTTGTCGTTCTCTTGGGCAATCCTTTGCTTCTCGGACTTGACAGGGTCTACATCCTTTTCGAGCTTTGCGCCACTGGTGAACTTGATGGATGGTGAAGGTGTTGATGAAGACGATGGGTCTGCTTGTTGTTGTCGCTGCTTCTTGAAGGCGGAGACTCGTTTCTTGGGAGCGGGGAAGCCTCCAGAGGAAGCGGGCGGAGGAGTTGGGAACGAGGGAGGTTTCACCTCGCCAATCTTTCGTTCCTTGACATCGTGGATTTCGAGAGTGCCGTCCATCGTGTCGAGTTGCTGTCGTGGTCGCGTTGCGGTGGCTCGGAGGTTTGTTGGTGTCGGCGTTGTCAACCAGTGATGACGCGCACAAACCAAAGAAAAGCTAGTCGGGTCGTTTGTTGGTCGGTAATGGTGATGGCGATAATGGGGGATAATGTATGCGGCACTCGAAAGAGAAGTGGATTCTTTGATGCAGAACACCCGACGGTCATCCGGCATAAGGTTCAAAGAAATCAAAGGAGGGGCTTGCCTGCCGAAGGAAAAGAATTGTCAGCGGCGGATCCGGCCTAAAGCCACACCAAGCACTGCATTAGCGTCGATCCAAGACACGGGGGATACACAGTATTTACGCTAGCATTTACAGTGCATTACCGTGCGCGGCTTGGGGCTCCATTTGGGCCCATTTTCGTCGTCTGTTTCGCGTTTCGTATTCCAAAATATCAAATGCACATTTGCCCGCTGGTCCGGTGGTCTCTACCAAATGGCTATTCGGCACGTTTGAGAGAAAGACTTCAGTTTCGGCCGGTGACGATCAGCATGAAGAAGAGCTTGTTTCCAACATTCTTCTCGACTATGCCAAGTGAGCTCATCCCATATCTTCTTTGTCAGTCAGTCACTTGACGGCATCTTGGCGACGCCGTGCTTTGTGTCCGCCGGGCTGGTGGTTGCGTTACTGAGGGTGGCGCTGCTGCTGAGCATGTCTGAGATCTTGTCATTCGATGTCGCCCCAAGATAATGCGGCCATATAAACACACCAGCTGCAGTACGCACGCACGAGAAGCATATTTCGGATTCGCAATTTTGTTTTGGTACCACCTCCTCAGTAAGCTGCATTGTGAGTTTAAACCTTCCAACAAGCCTAACCGCAGCCGCGAATCTCGTTCCCTTTTTCTCAGTTCGTGTGGCTTGCCGCATTGACGAGTGTGACGTGCCGGCAACTGAAGTTTAGAGTGCCTGTGGCAGAGTTTCGTCGCGGTTATTGTGTCGCTAACGAGTGGGTCACACAAGCGCGGCTCCAAATGTCGCGCAGCATCCATCCCGAACTAATCTGGAACAAGGTGTATCGGTACGTACCTGTACGGGTGCTTGTACCTGCCCGGCCTGAGTCTGACAAGGGGTCTGGGAGTTTTGAAGGTGGCCCGTGTCCCTTCCGCCTCTCATCGGATTTTGTCTCACGCTAGAACGAGGTACCTCGTCTGGTTCGTACTGTGTTGTTCCTCTTTGAGTCTCGGCTTCAGTCCATCTCTCACCTCAACAACTTCACACCGGCTGTTTACAACACGCTGTCTTTGCGGTGTACTCAGTACGTCAATAAACGGAAAACAAATGATGTCCATCCAATACCGGTCCTCAAGTTGCCTTCAACATCTCCCTACCTCAGCATGCTTCAACGGTTTAGTCAGCTGTGCAGCGGTACGGTATGTGTCAGGTGGAGTCATGCATCTTCAACTCTCACCCCAAACCGGTCGGGTCACTCAAAAGTCACTTTTCCCCAAGAACCCCAAAAAGAGAGCCCTGTGGCATGGACTGTGGAGTGTAACCTTGTTTCTCCATCAGCCGTTTCTGTTATTCTCATTGGTCAGAAATACAACATTTACCTTGGCGTTTTCCCTATGCCTCTATCGCTCGCACTCGCTCTTGTATTTTCTCTCGGGTGAGTGGTAAAGCACGCCCAGGTCCGCACATGGATGTCTGCTAACTGCTTGGCATATGTAAGCACTCTGCACTTGGGAGTCTGTGTGCCTCTTCCATTTCCTCAACCCCCCAAATGTTTTTTGGTCCAGTTCTTCTGGCCTGTCTGGTCTGAGGCCTGGCCAGAGCCGGAGCAGGGTGCCTCTTCCAATGTTTCTGATTCGCCTTGGCTTGCCCTGATAGCCCAAAGTGAGTCTATCCAGGCCACTGCGTTTGGTATTGTCGGGGCCCCGGTTTTCCTTTTGTCTTGACTTGTTGTTCCTAGCCATGCCCATTATTTGCATGTTAATTGGGGACCGACCATGGCCATTGCATTACCTGCCTGGCCAGCTGCTGCCCGGCGCTGCAAAATAATTAATCGTTCCCATTCAGTCCGTCCATTCAACACGTAGCCATCCATCGATCCATCTCCATTCCCCCCATTCCCAATCCCGCTCGGTGTTTTCTATTTCCCCCCTTCTCGCACGACCTTCCCACCTCCGCCAATTCTCTCCCTTTCTCTTCTCTCTTTCTCACCAAAACACCCACCGACTTTTGCACCGCAATTGACAAAATCCATCATAACCAACCTCTTTTGTCGGGTTACGCATTTCAAAAGTCGATTTTTCATTTTCGCAAATCCCGCCGCATCGCACCATACCGCGCGATTGCCCTTTTCCCCATCCGCCCGGTCATATTTGGGCATTTTTCACTGCCTTGTCGTCAGGTTCCGGCAGGTGGTGCAGCATCTGTTGCAAGTTGAGGATATTCCCAACCAGCAAATCCCCACTTTTCGAAGCACAGGCCGACGAGTTGCTACGAAGCAGGTCACGTTACCACGGCTTGGAGCTAGCAGTTCAGCCAAGTGCATCAGTGCATCCCGCCCCAAAGGGAAACCCCAAAGAGGAACACCCTTGGCGGGTTTATGATTGGCTGTTCCCGGCAGGCCCACTGCGCGAACCGATTGGCGGCTGTCAACTAATAATACACCACCCACACCTCCCGGAGCCGTCACCACATCACAGGGCCAGGCAAGCCAGGGCACATTGAGGAACCCACCTGTTCCTTAAACACCCACCCACCGAACCCCGAAGCCAGGCCGGCCCAGATCCCAGCCCGCCAGCTCACGGCAGCAAGGCACCACCAGTTACATATCATTATCAGCACTTAGCATCTGTACCACACCACCAGCATTCGATTAGACACAGTTCCGACTCCAAGAGACTCGACGCGACACGAAAGACACACTGAGGACCGCGTACCCGGTATACCTAGTCGACCATCAGAGGAGGTATACCTGTTCCCGTCGGTACAGCCACGGCCACGGCATACAACCCGCACCCAACTATCCGGTACCTCTTCACTGTACCGCCGATATGGACGAGATAGTTGTTGATCCCGGTTCTAGCGCCGCCCAGTTCAGTATCATGCAGTCGCAACAACCACCCCAGCACGGCCCCGAGGTCCGCCTGACCGCCGCCGGTGTGCCCCGCAAGAAGCCCGGTCGCAAGCCGAAACCCAAAGATCCCGCCGACGAGAACTCGACCGCTACCGAACAACAGCCTAAGCAGCGCCGTCCGCGCAAGCCCAGAGACCCCAATGCCCCTCCCATCCAGAGAAAGAGGAAAGCGGCCGCGACCGACGCCCCCGATGCCGCCGATATTGCCGACCACGACACCTCGATGGAGATTGACACCTCGTTGGCTTCTGCCAATCGTTTTAGTCTCGGCGGCCCCAGCAGGTTAGAAGCGCCCATCAATTCCCTCGATCAACGGGCGCAAAAGATACCCAAACGCGAACCGTCCCATGCCGTGTCCATGAGCCAGCTGCTCAACGAAGTTGACCCACCGCCGAAGCCCCAGCCTGCCGCTGCCAAACAAGTCTATGATCCCGTAAGAAGCAGTTACGACCCGGTCCGCGAAACCATGATGTCCAGAGACGTTTTCGGCACCGGCTCTATTATGGGCTCGCCCCGCGCACCTACCTCACAGCCTGTTATTAACCGCGCCAGCGCCTCGCCATCGATTGCGAGCTTGGTCGATCCTCCTGCTCCCCCCAACATCGCTTCGCCTGTTCCGTCACACCAAACGCCTTACAGCACTGCTGCCCCTACAAGATCACGACTCCAAGAGTCAACATCTGCTACTCCTTCGTCATCCAACCCTGCGCGCCCCACGCTACAGCAAATCACAAAGCCGCAAATCATCGAAGTCAGGCGTGCCCCTCCGCCGCCTCCCGCACCAGCGGCCTCCCACAGAAAGCCATCACCTCCCAAAAACTCGTTCACTAGTATGTCCACAGTTCCGCCGACATCATCGGCAGCAGCTGCTACCAACGCAGTAACAGCGGCCCCTTCAACAACAGCTCCGCCCACCAACAACAAGAAGCTCACAGCTCTTGTGCAACAAGAACGCGAAAGCACAAATTCCCGCGGAAACAAGACTGGTAGCAACCATTCTTCAGAAGCGGTTAAACGCGACGGAGGCAGCAACAGCCTAAAAGATGCTCTCCTTCCCCCTTTACCCTCTGTCGGTGGTCACGGCACAGAGCGCTCCATCCTCGACTTTGGCAAAGCCAACCCCGGTCAAGAAATCGAAGCACCATCTATCAAGATCCACGTCCCTTTGAACGGCGAAACGAACAAATACGTCAACTTCATGCGCATGGCCGAGGAGCAATACGGTTGGGACGCTTTACACCCTCGACAAGCAGCCAACCGGGAGCGCAAAGCTCGCATCGCAGCCGCTACTGCCGCGCTCGAGAAGTCAGTTGGCGCCAGCGGGCGGGAGTCAGGAGAGGAAATGGACGAGGACATCCAATCGGACGCGGAGAACAGTAACATTGAGATGGGCGGCATGGGTGTTTCTCATGCTCTTACTAATGGCGCAGCTGCCTCCGGCCCAGAGGCACCAGCAAAGCCGGCGAGGAAAAAGAGAAATTTCAAGGAGGACGAATATGATATCGATGATGACTTTGTCGACGACTCGGAGATGCTCTGGGAGGCGCAAGCGGCTGCTTCCAGGGATGGATTCTTTGTTTACTCTGGTCCGCTGATCCCCGAGGTACCCAAACCGGAGGTCGTACCCCCTGCTCGTCGCGGACGCGGTGGAGGAAGGGGCAGCAGAGGTGGCCGCGGCGGGACAACACGCGGTGGTGCTGCTAGCGCGGCACATGGGGCGGATGGTACAGCAACGGAGAAACCCAGTGGACGCGGACGAGGCGGTGGACCGGGGAGTAGAGGTGGTCGGGGCGGCGGTGATGGGACGAGGAAGCCGCGGATTACGAAACTGGAGAAGGAGCAGAGAGATAAGGAGAAGGCGGAGAGGGAGAAGGAAATGAAGGAGAGGGAACGGTTGGCAATTATTACAGCGGCGGCGAAGGCCAACGTGGCAGCGGGTGGAGGAGGAGGACCGTATATGTTGGGATTGAGTCCGCCTCCTGCTGCGGCGGGAGGACCCACGGCGATGATGATTGATTAGGCATCACGTCCAGAAAGTGGAAGACCTCAACAAATCGATCCTCTCGAGTGGGCGCGGACTGTGAATGATGTACGTGTGCGTCAGGAGATCGTAAAGGAGATGGAAGAGAAGAAGTAAAGTGGAAAGTGGAAAGTGGGAAAGACGTCGTCGTGTGTTTTTCATGTTATCGTTATCGTCGTTGTTTTCGGGCGTTCTATACATAACTCTCACACAGCACACACACATAATGGTTATGAATGGATGGATGGATGGGTCATGGTACTACGGATGGGAGACGGGAGAGACACCGAATGGTTGGCGGTTGGTTTGTGGTGCTGCTTTCGTTCCGTTAACTAGCATTGCCCTGGAAGAAGGAAAGGAAAGGTGGCAGGTATCATTATGAGGAGTCTCTATCACTATCGGTATCAAGTGTATCAAGTGTCACGTATTATCGTTATTTACTGCTAGATGAGAGGAGCGCGGTGGTTTACCGACCGACCGACCGACACCCATGTACAAAGAGAAATACGTTTGCATGTAATTTTGTATCTTGATGTATTGATGGCGGCCAAACTTGCATTAAATGGAATGGAACGGACATGTCTCATGGGTTGATGCGATGATGACGGGATGGGTGGGCAGTAGCCAGTTGGAGAGAAGAAAGGGGAACGGAACGATTGAGTACCCGTTCAATGTCTGTACGTAGGTACGTAGGTACGTAGGTAGGTAAACACCCTCTGTAGCAACGGGTAATCAATATAGCACTTGAATTGTAGTCTAGTGAGCAAGACTCGACTTGACTTCCCTTCAATAACTGACTGAATTCTCGCAGTAATCCGGGCAGGCATGCGATCTCGGGAATGTCAAGCTTCCATAGGTCATCGTGGCTAGGTACCTGCATTCCGTCTCCTGGTTGAGTGAACGAGCTTAATGACTTTTGATGACCTTTGATGATGATGCTTACTGCAATCTATTTATCATAGGCGTGACGAGAGTGTTACATACGGTATCTGAAGGCGGCCAGCCAGCAAGTTTGGCAACTGAGCGACAGATTCACAAACAATACCCAAGTCTACAGAGCAGATAGATGAGTTGCAGGCAATCAATCTGATTCAGTTTACCAAAGACAACAAACAGAAAATCCAATTTCCATTCACCAAAAACAACAGAAAAGCCAATTTCCATTTGCAGCATACCATAAGCCATAACTCCTACACGAAGCTCTGATACGGATACAGAAACCCTCCAGACAACATAAAATCATAAATCTAATGAATCCATCCATATTTACAGAACTTACCAGCCTCCTCACCCACTCCTCCCTCTCTATACATGCATAAGCTCCCCATCCGGCCAAAACAATCTATGCCCTCGCCAAAGCACCGAACTGCACTAGAGCTAGGTACCACACCAGCTAGGCAGCTAGGCTAAGCCTCAATACTAGCAATAGTCAACTCCGCAGTCCGTTCCATAGCCTCTCTTTGCCGTTCCATCGCCTCCCTCCGCTCTTTCTCCTCCCTCTCCCGTCGTTCCCTCTCCCTCCGTTCCTTTTCTTCCTTCTGATGTTTGCCCCTCTGGATATAATCGTGGTTCTCAATAGTTACGCTCTTGGTCATGTGGTTGACCTTGTAGACGCCGACGAGACGGGCCGCGAGCTCAAACATGTTGTTACGCAGGGAGATGACGATGAACTGAGCGTTTTTGGTGCGTTCTTTGATGTAGGAGGCTACAATTGAGACCTTTTTTTGTTCTCTCGTTAGTGAGTGTTGAGGGGATAGAAGGGCAAGGGGCAGCAGATACTCACATTCCTGAAATCCAGCGCCGCATCAATCTCATCCATCACGTAAAGCGGCGTCGGCTTATAATGATGCAGCGCAAACACCAGCGCCAGACTACTCAGCGTCTTCTCGCCACCCGACAAGTTACTGATATTCTTCCAGCTCTTCTTGGGCGGCATCACTGAGAACAAAATGCCCTCGGAAAACGGATCAAGCGAATCCACCAGTTCTAATTCCGCGTTTCCGCCCATGGTGATCATCTGGTACATTTCCTTCAGCCTCAGGGAGATGGTAGAGAATCCTTCCATGAACCCCTCCAGTCGCAAACGACGGAGTTCGTCGAGGCGTTTCTTGGCTGCGTCGCGCTGGGAGACGGCTGAGGCCAAGTCGGAAGAGCGCGCGAGATGTTCTTCTACGCGCCGACGGTACTCGGAAAGGACGGAGAGGTCGATGTTCACGTTAGAGATCTTCTCTTCCAGAGCGGCGATTTCTCCCTTGAGTTTCTCTTTGGACATGTCGGCTAGCTCGTCGCGGGTGTAGCGCGGGAGTTCGAGGGGGTTGCGGGGTTTGCGGGGGGTTTTGCCGGTTTGTACGCGGCGCTTCTTTTGTTTCTTGGGGGTTTTGACCTTCTTGCGCTGGCGGGGCTCGTCGTCTCCGTCTTCGTCGAGGGACATGGCGTCTTCTTCCTCTTCCTCTTCTTCGTTTTCGTCGTCTTCATCGTCTTCCTCTTCGGCCTCATTGGCTTCGGCTTCGAGTTGCGCTTGGAGCATAGAATCAGGATCATCGACGTCCATGGCGTCAGGATCGGCAGGTTGTTGAGCTGCTGCGTCGGCGCTGGTGCCGCGCTCGAGATCTTCAATGTCTTGAAGGGCAAGCTTGGAGAGCTTGTCTTCCCAGTAGCGGAGACGCTTCTGGTTCTCGGACAAGATCTTTTGGTTCTCCTCGAGCTTGTTGCGCATCTCAATTTCCACCGCCCTTGTCTCGTTGAGTTCGGCCGTCTTCTCATCCAGCTCCTTTTTCATAGCCGCCAACTCCTTCTTCTTCTCCTTGAGCGCCTCCTGCGCCTCTTCGACACGAGTCGTAAGGCTCTCGGCGGTGTTGCCTTGGTTCTGTATTTCTTCCTCCAGAGCCTCGGTCTCCTGAATGGCGTTCTGCAGCTCCTTGGAAGCTTTGTTAAAGTCCTTCTCAAGCTTGTGCTTCTGCTTCTCTGCCTTGGCCATCTTCACCTCGGCAGCCGAAGTTTGCTCGTTTTGCTCAACGATCTCTGTCTTGAGCTGGTCTACGGCGGCTTTCTGCGAGCGAAGCTTTTCACCACCCACCTTCATGATCTTATCCTGAAGAGCCTTGATCTCCTCTTCGACGGAGGACATCTCCTCGCGCAGCTTCTCGACCTCGCCCTCGAGCTTGGCAATTTCCTTTTCCAGGGCGGCGACGCGGTTGTCGTCTATCTTGGATGGCTGCTGCTCCTTGCTGAGCTCCTTGATACGGCGCTGGGCATCGGCGAGATTGCGCTCGGAGCTCTCGACTTCGAGGTTGATCTTCTGCATCTTGGTCTCGAGCTGAGGGACCATGGACTGGACCTGACGTAGACGAGACTCGAGCTCTCGTTGGCGGTCTTGAAACTCGTTGAAGGCTTGCTCCAAGGTATCACGGTCCTGCTCAAGCTTGTCAACCTGCTCCTTGGTGGTGTCGGCCACAAGCTTGGAGGACATCAGACCCCTCTTGACTGTCGTGCCACCACCGGTCATGGTACCTGACTTGTCAATAAGCTCGCCGGCAAGGGTCACTACTCGCCATCTCTTGGCGCCATAGGCAATCCGGTTCGCCTGTGCGAGGTCCTTGGCAACCAGCGTGTCCTGGAGAGCATGGTAGAAGGCGGGTCGGAACTTGTCGTCTTTGGGCTTGACCAGGTCAAAGAGACGAGGGGCGTTTTCGGGGGTGTTGATTGGTGACATGTCGCGGACTCTCAATTTGTCCAAGCACATAAAGTTTCCACGACCAAGGTTGGTTTTCCTGAGATACTCGATGCATTGCTGACCGGCCTCAACAGTGTCGGTGACAAAGTTGTCAAGCGCGCCACAGGCTGTGGAAATGGCAATGTCATACTTATGGTCGATAGCACCGAGGTTTCCAAGACGTCCATGGAACCCATCGATACGACCCGACTCCTTCATGCGCATAAGCGCAGTCAAGACATTGCCCCGGTTTTGAGTAGCGGACAAGCTCGACCGCGCCTCGTCAGCCTTTTGACGGGCATTCGAAAGCTGTTGTCGGTACTTGGGTTCCTCCTCCGCGAGTTTGGCAAGCTCGGCCTCGATCTTCTTGCCCTCCTTAATCAGGTTCGCTCTCTCGGCCTTACACTGCTCCATCTCCTCCGCCTTGGCCGCTTGCCTTTCCTGGATGGCCATAATCTTGGCCTCCATCTCCTCAAGGGCCACAGTCCCGGAATTGGCCTTTTCCCTCAGAATAGCCAGCTCACTCTCGGCAACGGCAATGGCGGATTGTTTCTGGTTAATCTTGTCCTTCCATGGCTCGAGCGACTTTTGCTTTGCCGCAATCTGATCAGAGTATTTCTGCGTCTTGCCCTTGAGGCTCTCACGAATGGTGGCAAGTTCGGCCTCCTCCTCCTTCACCTTCTTTTCCAGGAAAACAATGTCCTTTTGACGGCGCTCGATCTCCTTGGTGCAATTCTGAATGGTCTCATCCGCTTCGACAGCCGTCTTCTCGGCATTGGCGATCGTCTTCTCAAGCTTCTTACGCTTGTCCGTCAAGAACTTTCGCTTCTCCTCGAATTTGACCCGTTCCTGCTCGAACTTGTTCATCTCCTTTACCAGCTGCTGGGTCTGCTTCTCCCATGAGTCGTATTCCTTGCTACCCTTGGAGTAGGCCTTTTCCAGCTGCTTGATGAGCTGTTCGCTGCCATGATGCTTCTCGAGCTCAGCGTCAAGTTGTGCCTGCATCTGACCGATAGCCTCCTCTGTGACAGCAATGTTGTCGTCGCATTCGGTAGTGTAGAGTTGGTAGAGAGCCGACTGCTTCAGTGCCAGTTCGTTTTCGTCGCGAACAAACGCCAGCGCCTTGTTCTTCTTGTCCTCGAGGCTGTTCCTTTCCTTTTCTACGTGCTGGACACGGCCGCTCTTCTCCATGCAGATTTCGTTGAGGGTCTCGACCTCAGTGGCCGACTCTTCGATTGGCGTCTTGTATTTGGAAGTGCCGATGATGTCTTCTAGGTACTCCAGTAGACCGTCTTCGTGCTCGTTGCCGGCCTTAGGCTTCATCTGGGCAATCGATTCGACCTCACCCTGCAAAATGAGGAAACGCTTGTGGTCCAGATCGACGCCACGGTCGCGGAGCAGCGTAGTCACGGTGGTGAAGTTTGACGATTTGCCGTTGATGTAGTACTGGCTCGAGTTGTTCTTGAAGGCTTTGCGCGAGATGACGAGCGTCGAGTCAGGGATAACTTCGTGACCACCACCGGGCTACAAAAGTCAGCACAAACAGCTTTTCGCACAACATTATTCCAACTTACCAAATCCATGACTTCCTGGAAATGCACTTCCACCTCACAGTAGTTGAGATCCGGGAACTGGGCCGAGTTGTGGATCAAGGCCGAGATCTTTCCTTGTCGCATCTTGCTGGCACGGAAACCGAAGACGAACAGCAACGAGTCGATGACGTTAGACTTGCCCGAACCGTTGGGGCCGACGACCGAAGAAAATGAAGCATGGAAGGGGCCGACCTCCTGTCTACCGGCGTAACTCTTGAAGTTGATAAGCACAAGGTTGGTGATGACGATGCGTGGCTTCGGGCCAGTATCTTCGACAACGGGAAGAGCCATGGTCCGTGACTTGAGGACAATATCCATGGGCTTTTCCAAAATGGTATCCATAGCCCTGACAGGCTTCTGTGCCGCCACCATGGTCTCATCTGCTGTTGATGCTGGCTGAGTGTTGACGAGTGTCTCTGATGCCGCGGTTGGTGGTGGTAAGTTTATGCGTGTCTGAGTGATGTCTTGTAGAGGAGCGGGTTGGCGATCGAGGCGCTGGGTTGACGGAGAGCCTGGTGTTGGTGTCCCTTGACGGCTGGCTTGTTGCTGTTGTTGCAACTCGAGCTGGTCCTGCATAATCTTTGCTGGCGATCTGCTGAGCCGCCGCACAAGTGTTCTACGCTTCCGCGGGGGTGACTGTATTTCTTGCGTATCCCGGGCTTCTGGCTCCGCGATCACGGCGGTTGTAGCGGGCGACATGGCAGACACGACTGTCACATTGGGGTCGATGCTGTCCTCCATTGGTTCGTCTTTCGGTTTGACGGCGGGTTCTGGTGTTCCAGGCCGAGCTTCTGGTTCAACATCGGCTACAATACTCGATTCGACACTGGGCTCTTCGCTGGGCTTAGGGGCGGCGTTCTTCTTAGGTCGTCCGCGTCTTTTTGGCGCAGCTTTTGGTGCCGGTGTCGGTGCTTTCGATGATGATGCTTCTGCTGCTGGTGTTCCTTGCCTGGGAGCGGGCGTGGCCGTCGACCGTCTAGTGCTGCGCTGAGCAGTCTTGCGGGCTGCCGAAGCAGGCGCGGGTGTATAGTCCTCCTCCTCGTCATCCTCGGCAGCTTTCGATGTGTTTGCGATCTCGTCGTCCGATGATGATTCTTCGATAATGGGGGCGCGCCTGGCTGCGGCGGCCCGACGCGATGGGCGCGTCGACATGACTGATGTTTGTCGGTGGGATACGGCTTGCAAATTCTGGACTCGATCAATTCGGGAATCAAGACAAAAAAAAGAACAGAACAGAATGCGCTGAAAGATGTGGGTATCAAACAACGAAGAGGTGGAAGTGTATGAAAAATAAAAAGTAAAAATCAAAGACGGGTATTCACATTTCGCAGTTGCGACAGACACAGAATGGGACGCCCAGAAACTCTTTCGCTAGGATGTCGCAGCTCCTTGCCCCGCCGCGGTTTGTTGACATTCAGGGCAGTTTTGACGGTTCTTGCAGTGTAAACAATCAGCCACAGCAGCCACAGCCCATGCAATTCGTGCACTGCAGCGGCCGACCCCTCTGCGAGACACTCGCACCGTGTCGCGCTATCCTGCGTGGCAGGTGGGTCTCTGTACAAGTACGTAACAAACATCGCGCTTACGGGTTTCTTATCGATAAGCAAGGGCAGTCTCGTTAGCGCAGGTACAAATCCGGGGAAGGCTCCATTGATGTGCCCAGTGCTCCATTTCCAGCGCAGGGGAGTCGCTGCATTCCATTTCCAGGGCATGACGGCATCCCTTGGAATGCCCGATTTCCATTCCACATCTGGAGGCACTTGAACACTTCAACTTCACAACCAAGGAGACTTCCACATCACGATGCTCGATTTCACGGAATACAACAACGTGTTTCCCTCTGCGGGAATCATAAACCCCTACGACCACAAGGGGGCCAGTGCCATCGAGACCTTCCGCAAGTCATTCCGGGAGTCCTGTTTGTGGATCGCGTAATAAGTCGGTTAGGCATCAGCCAAGGTGCGTGTAAACATTAACACCACAACCAATCACCCGAGCAACCATGTCATTATAGGGCCCATCATCGCTAACCACGGCTGTAATACAGGGTCTGCATATCCACCCAAAGGTGAAAATGGCCTTCGCTCTCTACATCAACAAATTTGCCAAAGCAGCGTCTCGTCACACTACAAAATATCAGTTCTCTACTATCTCCTCCTCGACCACGATGATATTCACCCCGGTCGGTCGCAGTGGGCGGACGGCTTTGCTGAGGAGGCAGGACTGCCGAAGAAGTACCAGTTTCTGATGAGGGGTCTGTGGCATATGGATCGCAAAGAATTCAAGGTGCGTTGGTTTGATTCCCTCTATGGAACTCTTCCACCGGACATCAAAAACACTAAAAAACACCACTAAACAGTACGCAATCGAAAACCTAACTCAGCCCTCTCTCCCCACCTCATTTGCCGACGAAATTACCATTGCCCTCGTCCGCCTCCCGCTCGCCAACAAGCGCAGCAGCTCTGCGAGTCAAAACGATTACACCCTTGCCCTCGCCTACTTCCACGCCGCCCAGCCCGTCTTCACCTCATCCGAAGCTCTCGAGCTGCTCTTTGGCGCTCTGGCTCGCACCAACGTCATCGAAGCCCTTGATTTCTCGCGTCGTTACCCGGAGTGGATTCGACAGCAGCTATTTGAAAAGCTGGTGGCTTCGATCCTGGAGCAGCCGGAGAAACTGGGAGCGAGGGGCAAGGAGCTTGTTAGCGCATCGTTAACGGGCGAGGAGGAAAGTTGGTTTCAGGAGTTCTTGAGGCGTGGGGAGGTGAGGAAGACTAAGGGCGCAAGTGTGCTTTTGAAGATGAGAGGGGTTGTGACGGGGAGGTTGAGCAGCACTGCTGCGTTGGAACACCTTGCCGGCTTTCCGTGAGGTTGATGATTAGGTATCGGTATGGCTTCATGGTTCGGCGTTTTTCTGGCCTTGGTGCATCGGTAGCCCAATCTGCATAGCATGGCGCAATTGCAAATTGTAGCAACGAAGTGGGTCAAGGAGAATAGGAGGAAATGCAGTCATTAGGGGTAGGTATGGCTGAGCCTCAATTCGCTCTCTCCATCACGTCGTGGCTTCCCTATTTTTCATTCTTCTAAATTCCGTCGCTTCTCCTCCTTCGTTGCCCAACTTGAAGCTTACAGTCGGCTTGCTGGCTCACGAAGAAATGACGATACTACCTGTCTCCTTTCCCACCGTACCCTCCTATTTTCTGTGGGAATTTGATGGAGTGTGATTGTCCTGTCCGTCTCGGCGGCCATCCTTTCCTTCTCGAAGCCTTTGCACGGTTTGCAACTCCATGTTTACTGGTCCTCTTGAATTGAACAAATACCACTCACATCATCCCGACCCGCATGCTTATCTCGATGCTGCAAAAGAAGGATGCTACATGTGCCGAGTAATTACGGCAAGTCCAGAATGGGAGAAGATCCAAACTCTTCTCGTCGATTCCGCATCCGTCGGATGTTTCTCTACAGTCTACGACGAACTGTTAGGAAACTCACACCCGAGTGTGGTGATCAAGTTGATCTGCAAACCGAAGAAAGAAGCCAATATCAAGGATGACAGCCAGACAATATACTGGAGCTTTCACTGCTATATTCCGAAAGATGACAAGATAGGTGTTTGAGCCATGGTTGCCACACCCAAGATGAACATGTCACATGTCTGACTCGTCACTCCTCCACGAACAGCTAGCCAACAGAAATGGACGGCGGCTTTCTAATATGGACTGGACGACCCAACTCTGGTATACCGCGCGAGATTCTGTCCAAAGATGATTTCCTATCTGGAACCCGTTTCCGGCCACCCTAATGACCAAAGAAAGGAAGGTCTTGTAGATGGCACAGTAAGGAAATCTAACCATTTCACTGAATTGGGCAACCTGTCCGCGTATTTGCGGATATTCTTGCTTCCCATCATGGTGGATGACGATCAGAAATACTCGGGAGTGGCTGAAGGAACGTAACAGGTCTGATCTTGTGTCAGACATTGGATGACTACTTCTCTGGAAACCCCACCTATTAGCGTGCCGGAAGTTTTGCTTTGGAAATGAAGCTTGAAGACTTGTGCGATATTCCCAAGATGGACGTGCGGATATGATGATAGGTATCCTGCGTTACCACTTTCCGGCTTTGGTTTTCTACTAAGAAGTTACATCTACCCAGAGATTTGGACTGACTTCTTTCTCGGGAGGAGCAAATGGGCGTAGCCATTGACTAAACTGCAAGAAGAAGAGTTGATATGAGGCCTTCCTGCATCCAAAAGTGTGTAATACTGAAGGCCTTTCATTCAGAGCATCTCTCCCCTGACTGGCTGACGAACTTCAATTACAGTGATGTCTTTTGGCGTTCTTGATTGGTCCTGGGTACATAGGTACCTACACTGTTGACATTCTCCGAAGTTGGGTAGCAATGGAAGGCGGTACTGAGGTGGGGGAGCCTTTCGCTTTCTCGTGGCTTCGCATTTTCTTCTTCTTTTTCCCCTTCGATCTTTCCAGTCTAATCTCTCACCGCAGAAACTCGTGCCCGGGTCCCGCCAAGATCATCGTCAATGAGGGAGGGCATTTAGCTGGATCCTCAGCGTGCCCGTTCTTCTCTCCCACCTCTTTCATACAGCCTGAACCAACTGAACCGTTCCTCACTCTACTTACCTACAACCCTTTTAATTTTTCTCCCCAACGACCACTGGAAAACACCACGATGTCCGAGCGGCTGTGCGCTGTTTGCAACCGCATGTTTACCAATGTCACACTTCGACCATGGGGAACAAAGAATCCACATCACTCGACAATAGCCGACCTCCTGCAAGCAGCAAATGAGGGATGCTATATATGCCGATCGGTAACGAAGAGATACCAGTGGAGTGACATAACCATAGTTTCCTCCAAAGGGTTTCTATTTACTTTTTCGCGGACGGGTCCCTATCCCCACGTGGAGGCGCAGTCGAACCACTATGGCTATTATCATCCGTCCAAAGGAGTCATACGTGCCCCTCGGCGGCCGATTTCCTATCCCGATGAGCAGAGGTCTTCTGGTTTGATATGCTTGATCATCAATGCCGCCTGTAATATCGATAATGATGATTGTCGTCGGAAATTCAACCAAACTATCAAAGAACTTAACGAGATCAAGGAGGGAGGGCTGCCGTCAATATGGATGGGTGAATCGAGCAAGTCATATGAGGTTGAATTCCGATTCTATCTCTGGCCGCTCGAAGATGATGAGTCGTATATCCTTCAACCTGACAACTCGACAAGACGTATCAATTGGGAAGCGACAGGAACTAAAGACAATGTGATTGACTTGTGATATTCCAATCCAGAAGCGACTGGTGGCGATGTCCACATAACGACATCTCCGTCTGTGCTGAATGATTCAGCCACGAGGGGCTTGCTGAAGAAGTAGTTTACACAATGTTGTACAAACCACTCCTTCTGCCTCCCCCCAACGCCTTCCTTTAGTCCAACACGGCTATTGCTCATTGAGAACGAGCACTCTGCAAGACTTGTGGAGACAAAAGACTGGGACGTCGATCATCCCTATGTCGCTCTATCGCACTGCTGGGGAAGTACAAAAAGACTCAAACTCCAGAAGAGCAACATGGCGGATTTTCTCAAGCATCTTACCATCCCAGAGTTGCCAACCACATACAGAGAAGACATATCCGCTTCTTTAGCGCTCGGTATCTCCTATATATGGATCGATTCGCTCTGTATTATTCAAGATGACGAGGAGGATTGGACCAAGGAGGCAGCACTGATGAAGGACGTGTTCAAGCACTGCTCTGTCACCCTGTATGCCACCGCGGCTGCTGACAGCTCACAGAGTAACTTTAGACACAGGGATCCTACAGACATTCCGCCTGTCAAGGTTACGCTCAGCGATGGTGCAAAGAAGCCTACACAATCAAATTTCTGGCTTGCGAATGCCTGGTCCGATCTGAAGAGCCAGGATATCGGACACTCGCCTCTCCACTCGCGAGCCTGGGTGTTCCAAGAAACGAAATTATCTCGACGTCGGATTGAGCTCGGTCGGTTGCAGATTTGGTGGTTTTTTTCAGGAGAACTGGGCTTGCGAAATGCATCCTACGGGTGTATGGATTGTCTACGAACCTGATTTGTTGCTGCCAAATGACGGAGACAAGCAACAATATATCAACATGCGCAAGCGCAAAAGTGTACATCCTAACACGTCGTCGTCTATGTCCTCATTCCACGAATCGAGCAGCCTAGCCCCTGCTATTATGACATATGATGATACTAGCCCTGAGGAAAACCACGAACGCCAATGGTTTGAACAGGTTCTTATGTTCTCCAGCTGTGCAATTACCAACAAAAGAGACAGGTTAATAGCCTTCACTGGGATTGCTCAAAGCTACGCTCAAGACCTAGGGCGTAGCCTCAATGACCACCTAGCCGGTATCTGGCGCCAAGACCTTCTCAGTTCCCTTTGTTTTACGTCCACTCGTCAAAAAACATCTTACCGCTCGGACGCATATCGCGCTCCATCCTGGTCTTGGGAATCACTGGAAGGACCTGTCACAATCGAGGAATTTCTGTTATATCAAGCGGAAAGTACCATAGCGCCACTTTGCGAGGTTGTCGACGCGAAAGTCATCCATCAATCCAAGCATAACAAAGGAGGGGAGGTGAAGGGAGGCGTTATACATCTCAAGGGTCATTTAGTTGAACTGATTTTGGGCAGCCGGATACCCAAGTGGCCAAGCAACAGGGAGATTGAAGAACTGGCTGACGAACTTGACCATGTCTATAACTTTGATGAAGGACAAAATGTCGATTCCCCGATAATCCGGCATCCCATGGTTAGCTATCTTGAGCACCCCAAGGGCCAAGCTGACCAGAGGAAGATTGGTATTGTGGATGGAATGGTACGCAAATCCATCAGTTTCAAGAAACCGGACGAGCTGTCTAAGCACCTGCGACTATTTACGCTCCCCATCCTGAGGGAAGAAGACTGGGTGGGACGCCAGAGAGTTCCATGTCTTTTGCTCTGTCAAACGTTGGATGACTTCTCCGCAGGAAACGACGTTTACCAACGGGTAGGCAGAATTTATTGGTTGGTTGAGGAGGACGAGCCGCTCGAGGACCTGGTGACAATTCCTAAAAGGGATGTCTACATTATCTGATGCTGGTCGTTTTTCTCTTTGGTTTTTTTTTTTTTTTTTATATTATATTTTTATTTTTATTTTTTTCTTTCTTCATCTCTTCTTATTTTCAGAGACAAACCCATTTCGAGATTTTCCTTTATTTCAATTCCTTACAACATTTAACCATAAAAGACCTGTATCTTCTGTTCCTAACCTATAAGTCCAATACGTACTACTGATACTGTCCCACGGCCACGGCACCGGTCAACCTCCAGCTGACTCAGCCGAATCCGACACTCTCGGATCGTTGCAAAACCAGAGATATGATTGAAGACAAAGGTCTCCAAAACCATGAATGTACTCCCATATACCTATTTAGGAAAGTATTTTGCATTTTGTCAACGGAACGGTGATGACCACTCGACCAATTCACATCGTTTACCCACCGGGACCCAGAAGTCTGTTCACCGATTGGCGCTTCAAAAAACAATTTCCTCAACTTGGTGGAATGATTGCTATCTGATCCATAAATCAGTACCATACCAAACCGTCCTACTCCACCCTCTGTCTCCGTTCAAGAGTTGTAGCAGAAATTATCGCAGAGTGTCTCGGTAGGAAGCGTGGTGTTTTGTGTATGAACGACCATCCTGCCTCTGGGGTAAATGTCTTGGCGCCAAGCTGTTAGTGCAAACCATTTGGTGCCCGCCAATTCGTTAACACTACTCTTGTCTGCAAGCTCGCCGTTTCCGTGGTCGGTCAAACCAGGCCGCACTCACTGCAGCTACCCGGAGCCCCAAGATGCAGGCAGGAAGGCCCGATGCATGGAAGGCACCATCCAATACCCACATCATATTGAAGAGGCTATCACCAACCGGGGCAAGAACTGTCATTGATTGTTGATTCTGACAGAAGGAAGGAAAGATGGAACCCATCAACTGTGAAGGAAGGAGCGAAGCCAGCGACAATCTCGCTCAGAGGGAAGAGAAGTGATCCAAAAGACAAACAGCAGGGAGGGCGACGAGCAGTGTGTTCATCGTCAAGTAGGTCGCCCCCAGAATCTTGCTTGGCTTCTTGCTCTCTTTCTCTCGGAAGCCTGACGGAATCCAGCAACTTTTCCTGATCTTTGCCGCTGCCCCTGGCACCCTCCAAGCTTTCTCTCCATTACACTGACATGACTGAGGGTCACTTAAGTTGCAATAATGGACTTCTATGGTCAAGGTTGCGAGCTCATGGGCAATCAGTCCGTGCCCGGACCATTTCCTAGAGTCTCCTCCACCATGTCGCGACGTTGGGACGAGTGGCTCGAGAATGGTTAGTGATGATCATAGCATTCCACCCTTCTGCCTGTACAATCGGTTCTTGAACTAACTTTCTGTCTCCTGTCTCCAGGTGCTTTCTTTGACCCATGACACGGCTCATGGAAAATTCCCTACCCCTGGCAAGCCACCAACGGGATCAACGGCCGCCAACAACGGCAACGACATGGAACATGGGCAAACAAGCTATTTATATGCCGCAGAAAATACATGGAAGATTTTCTACACTTGGAGCTGCTTGATCTGGGCGGCCGGTTGCCACTGCACTTGACCCAGCGGGATGGGCAAGGAACGGGAAGTGTCCCACATTTGATTATCGCCTCCATGACGAGTCACGACCAACCCCGGATTTCTGCGTCTTTCATCAATATAGCTTCATGACAAAACTTATTCCATGGCATGTTGAAGCAAATATTGAGTGTCAGTAAACAGACATCAACCGAAGCCGTCGAGAGGTATAAATGAGGCAAATCCCACCTATATTAATCCCAGGACTTGCTCCCTCTCATTGTCCGATTACTTCCAACCTACCTTACCAATCATTCACCGACACGCTCACCGCAACGCTCATCATGAAGCTTTCCCTTGTCTCTCTTTGGGCCGTCACTGCCACCCTCACGGCAGCAGCTCCCACCGCCACCACTTCCAATCACTCCCACAGCGACTCATCCATCGAAAAACACGGTCCCGCATGCAATATAATTCCAGGCGCTTGGCGGGGCATGGACATGAACTCACTAGCCGTGTGCAACCTCCAATTTGCCCAGACAGGGGATGAGGAGGTGGTGGTTCCGAAAAACGGATATACCGTTTGTACCGGAGGTACTGGGAGTTTCTGGGTGCATTCTCTTGGTGATGGAGAATTGAGGACTGCCAGATGAGTATTTGAACCCGCGACACACTGCTGAATGAAATAGAAGGTTGAAGTGTAATTGTATTGTGGATGGAAAGGGTACTGGTTGATAGAACGGATGAACTTGTGAAAGTGATAGTAAACGAATGGTCGTGGGGTGATGGTACAGAAGAGAAATTTCCAGGGCTGCGTCAAGAATCCAGGGTGAGTTCAGTTTCTTTCCCCGACTAGTTTAGTACTTGTAACGGCGGGGTTTTGGGAGTTATTTAGGTAGTTGAGCCATTATACTAACGATGTGGAATTCAGAGGAATGCGGAACGGATGATGGCTGGGTCAAGGGCAGTGACTTTGTAGCGGATGGTATTGAACTGGTGATCTCGTAGTAGCTACAGCGAATGAGAGAAAGGGGCTGGCGGCAAAGAGTTGGGGAATTAGAGCTTCTCGCCGTGAGGATTAAGAGGAGGGATGGGGAGCTTATAGGATAGATCGGAAGAAGTTGATTTATGACCGGCACTCCAGGGACCGGGCACTCCCTTTTCCTCCTTTGCTACTACGTCGGAATAATGAGGCAAGTGTGCGGGTTAATGATCATCAGTGCTTTACACGAGTACAGCTAATCCTTTATTCTTTCGTTGATGTGCTGTCCCTTAACCGGTCCATATTTGTATCGTACCGCGATTCCCGATAACTGACAAACTACCCTGGGTACCAACAGAGCCAACAAAACATGAAAAAACAGCGCCATCTATGGCGACAGCATAGCAAACAACCCGAAAACAAACAGGTTTCTGCGGAAGCTCATATGCTGGTTTCTTGCACTTCGAGTTGCTTGATGATAATCAGGGGGAATAGGCTGCTACCGCACTTGACCCAAAGGAACGGCACAGGAACGGGAAGATCTCAGATTCCGCGTCCAGTCCCCTGCCTCACCAGTCCCAAGGACACCAAAACATTATTTTTTGCGTCTTTGAACTCCCGTCCGGCTCATGACGCAATGAAGGAGGTGTGCGCTGAGAGTTAATATCGAGTTTCCGAGGATAAATACTTATAAAAGGTGAGAATCCCACCTACGATCATAGGATTTCCTATTTCGCACTCACCATTCTCAATTCGTTGCTTCCATTCAACAACTCCATAACTCACAGCAATAGCTACTCACCATGAAGTTCACCCAGCTCTCACCCTTAGCCCTCTTGGCCACCATCATTACCCTTACCGGGGCAGCTCCCACCACCACCACCACCTCAAATCCCAATGACCAATCCATTTCAAAACGCGAGGCCAGATGTGACATCATCCCAGGCAACCCCAGCATGTGGGATATACAAGCAAAGCTCTGCCTACTTGATTATGACCTGCACCCGAGCGACGAGATGGTTATTCCGGCAGGAGGAAAGAACCTATGTGTCAGGGATAGCGGGAAGCTGTACGCTGGGGTTAGTGGTGATGGAGGAGAGCAGAGGACTACCAAAAGAGCAATTGCTAAGGCTGCGAGGGGAATCTTGGGTAAGATTGTTCCGTTTCTGTCAGCAGTGGCTATACTGGGTACGGCAAAGTTCATGTTGAGTCACACTTGTACTGACGGTGTGAACCATGCACTATGTGTAGACAAATGTAGCAAGGACGGTTGGGTGGTCGGCACGGATAATGTGGAGGGAACAAATATCTTCTTGGTATATTCGGGGTAACGTCGCCACGGTAGAAGAAAGGAAGAAGGAATAGCAGTGAAATTTTGGGTACCATTCGCATTGTTCGTCGCGATGACTGAAAGGAATGAAAGGATGGGAATATTCAGGGTTGAATCTGGAGAAGTTCTTTTTATTACGAAAGCCGCTCACTCTATGGACCGGGCACTACTTTGACGTTGTGAAACGCAGAGAAATGCAATTGGGGGGATGGCCATATGCTGGGAACGGTGTTGGCGACTGATCATATTTTTGATGGGTTCATTTGGAGGTGAGGATGAAAGGAGAGGTGAGAAGAGAAGGGGATAACGGTGGGGCTTGGGGGTATTTGAGCTGCTCGTTCACGATGACCGGGGCAAGAATGGGCGGGAAGGTATAGGATGAATCTGGAGAGAAGTTACTACATGGCTGTTTCGTATTTCTGACCTTCATTTGATCTCGTTAGCAAAACATATCGGAATGAACTTGCTCACCGACTTTGGCTTCTCTCCGTTCTCTGATATGCGGTCGAATTAATCAAACGTCGGAGACTGGACGACAGACAAACGTATCTCTGAAGGCAGCCACCAAACCGTCTCGTCGTCAACCTCACCACGAGGATGATCCACCACCTCCTGGAGGTAGAGGTATGAAAGAAGACCCATTTTCAACCTCTCCCATCCACAACTTCTCTCCCTCATCATCAACAAACTCACTGCCTTTCTTTTGCCACCAAAATTCCCACCAAACCACTCACTCACAGCCTCACCACCTACCAACCACCCAAAATGAAGTTCACCACCATCCCCTTTCTCGCTCTCAGCTTCCTCCTTGCCAGCGCTCCCCTGGCTCTCGCCAACCCCATCAATAGCGGTTCCAAGGTTGACACCACTCCGACCTGCGTGTCCGATCCCGAGGGATTTATGACCGTGGCCGACGCCCGTTCTTGCTTCGACGAGATTGCTGCTAAAGGCACTCAGCTGATCACTACCAAGGCCCCTGGCCAGGCTATGTGCGTGAGAAGGAGTGGCGTGTTTTGGGCGGGGATTGGAGGGGATGCGGATCAGAGTGCTGCTGCGTGAGTATTTTCTTTACTGTTTTCTTGCGGTGAAGGCCACTTGTGGTGTTGGATGACTGGATGCTAACTGTGGACGACGGGTATAGATCCGACATCGCTGCTGCTGGAAAGCTTATTCTGGGTGATTTACCACTACCTTGTTCGGGGAATATATGTACAAGTGGACAGCGCTGACAGAATCCTGGCACAGACACCTGCAAGTTCAACGGCGTTCGCGGCATGCTGAGCGAGATGACTGGTGGCGGAGCGTACGTGGCTACCAACGACCACATCTATGTCATGTTCTCCAAGGATGAGCAGGATGACTGAGTTTGTTCGTTGATTGCAAACTGTCGCTCGTGTTGCCTTGGCTTGACCTCAGCGACAAAATCACGGGAGAGAAAGAGGAGTGACGAGGACGAAAAAGAAGCTGGTGAAGATCAAGGGTATCACGTGGCTGGTCATGCTTCTTAAGTCGTACTGCGGGAGACGGGGAGACGGGAGCTAGAGAGCTGATTTCCCTATTCGGATTCGGGTCGCCCGGCTATCCTCGGCCGTGGTGTTTGCGTGCGACATACACGGGTTATACAATTCGGCTGGACGCGGAGATAGAAGTGGAAGAAACTTCAGTGGATGATGACTTGATGCCTCTCGTTCTCGATGAAGAAGATGGTGCAATTGGTGAATTGCTGGAAGATGTTTTCCGGCTTTTGATAATTGTTAGTGCAACTGCTTCTAAAGCTCAGCGTTTGTGGGGAAGTTACAGCAGCTCTCTCCGCATCTCCGGGGGAAAGTACGACGTCATTTGCAGCTTCCCGAAGCTGTGTAGCTCTTGCCGCTCTCCACCCAATTTTTTGGACCGAGCTCACTGATAAGATTTCGATCCCACTTCTTGGGACCCTTTTGTAACAATTGCATCTTTCGAGCCTGAAAGTTAACAATACCGGCCAATTGCACCACTCACCTCATCCACAATGGCCGTCAGAATCGCCCTCCCGCGCAACGCTCCCTCGTCGTTCGCGCGCTTCGTCCGCGTCGCCGGCCGCTTCTACTCGACCGAGGCGCCCGCGGGTCCCATCATCCGGGTGACCAACCTCCCGGCGCCCAACTCAGGCCACATCCGCATTCTCGAGCTCAACCGGCCCGCCGCGCGCAACGCCATTTCGCGTGCACTTCTGTCTCAGCTCCGCGACGAGATCGACGCCGTCCACTCCCAGTACGATGCCGCGACCGGCGAGGAGAAGCCCGTGGCTTCGTGGCAGAAGCGCTTCGGCGGCGTGGCCGGCGAGGACGAGAAGGGTCCTACCCGCGCGCTGATCATCTCTTCGGCTGTTGACACTAGCTTTTGCGCGGGTGCGGATCTTAAGGAACGCAAGGGGTTTACGCAGGAGGAGTGAGCTTTACCTTTCTTTCTTACCCTTCTTTTTGTGTCTTCCGCGCGACCCGGCTAACAACCCCTTTCTCTGACAGGACCGCCGCATTCCTCACCTCCCTCCGTACCGCCCTCACCTCCCTGCAAACCCTCCCCATCCCCACCATCTCCGCCATATCTTCCATCGCCCTCGGCGGCGGTCTCGAGCTCGCCCTCTCCACGCACTTCCGTGTGCTTACCTCTAACGCCGTCGTCGGCCTGCCCGAGACCCGACTCGGCATAATCCCCGGCGCCGGCGGCACCTACCGCCTGCCCCAGCTCATCGGCATCCCCCGCGCGCGCGACCTGATCCTGACCGGCCGCCGCGTTAGCGCACCCGAGGCTTACTTCCTCGGTCTGGCCGACCGCCTGGTCGAGGTCGCGCCCGAGTCTGAGGAGCAGGCCAAGGAGTGGCAGGCCATGGAGCAGGAGCCTAGGGACAAGATGGTGCTGAGCCTGGCGCGCAGGACGGCGCTGAGCGAGGCGGTCCGTCTTGCCACGGAAATTTGCGAGGGCGGACCGATCGCCGTGAGGGCTGCGCTCAAGGCTGTGGAGGAGCCCAACGAGATGGTGGAGAATGATATGTACCTCAGGGTGGTGAGGACGGAGGATCGTGATGAGGCGTTGCAGGCGTTTTCGGAGAAGAGGAAGCCTGTGTTTAAGGGAAGGTAAATGCGTTGCTGTACTATACCTGGAGTGATGTGAATTTTTGGAAATACCATTACGATGTTGAAGTCAGAAACCGAGTCAAGACTTGAGAAGTTGTCGGGTAACCGGGGTTCTTCCTAATGGATGGACCCTAGATGCATTTGAGCCGCGATTCTTGTGACAGTAACTTGTTTCATATTCGGTCAAGTGATAGAAAGGCGTCACGGCTCCATCCGACACAAGGACAAACAGGTAAGGTAAGTTGAGGCTGTTGAGGCTATGATGCCCCTGGCCGACTGGTCCATGTATTTTTGGTGTAGCTAGCCATTGAGTGGTAACGTCATTGAGTCCACCAGAGGGCCCATCAAAGTGCCAAGCTTTCGACATTGGTGACAAAAACGGTACTTGACGAGCCTCGATCTACCGCTCTGGGTCTTGATCCGCGCCGGGAAATATCGAAAGGGGCTTCCAAAGCTTTGACAGTTCTTATGATATTATCGTTGTATAACTATGAATGGTCCAAGGGGAATTTGGTGCTGTGTTGGTTGGGTTGTGATGCAGTATACATATCCGATCATCAACACTCTTAACCAGGCGTTGAAATTACAACCCCCAAACTAAAACTAAGCACTCGTCCCAGCTCTCTGATTCATTTTCTAACAACTTCACTTGCATCATAGCTTCAAAACCGTGGAGATTTCAAGGCCTGTCAGCTTGTCAAGCTGTCAAAGCCGTCAAGCCTGGAGGAGTAGCTGTCCCCGGCGTTCCGTTGCTTGTTTACATGCGAGCCATGATCGTTGGCGGTGGAGTAGCAAGTGGAAAGCGTTCCTGAACCAAGGCACAGGAACTTCACAAATTGGACAATTTGAACATTTCAAAGAACAGTTGAAGATCTGGACCAAAGAAGAACATGCTGATTGAGAAATTGTGCAAGGTACGTACTTCTTTCCCCCAAAGGCCAGCGAGGTTCGCAGCTTCCCCGCTAAGAGGACGTCATTGGCCTGCAGGGGTCGCAACTGCTGCACCACAACACTTATGACATCACCGCGACGGAACGGTTCATGAGTGACAGGAAGGAACGACAAACAACCTTTTTATAAGCACAACATCCTTCCATCTTGAGACGCTTCCTTCTTCTCTCTCCAATTCAGTCACACAGACAAATCAAACAATCACAATCACCTTTTCCCCTCAACAAACAACGAGAACAACCACGAAATCGAATCCCAAAAGAGGATCTAATCTGAACAACATCAACAACAACAACACCTAAGATACCCAACAAACAACCACACAAATCATCAAAATGTCCGCCTTCACAATCGCTACTCGCAGGGTCGCTACCCAGATCCCCCGCGCTGCCGCCGCTTCTGCGCCCCGCGCCGCTTTCTCCAGCTCCGTCACTCTCCAGAAGTCCATTGCCGAGACCGTAAAGGACACCCTCAACAGCGTCAACCGCGCTGTTTCCGACAAGGCCCTCGATGGTATTGACGCTACCTGTACGTACTCCTCATTCCCCCAATTCTCTATATCCCCCGATCAACAACGCATACTAACTCTCCACCAACAGCCAACGTGGCCTCAAAACTCAAGGATACCGCCTCCAACCTCACCAATGCCTCTTCCCCCGCCGATCTCGCCTCCCGCGCCAAGGACGCTGCCAACTCCGCCGCCTCAGACGCCGCCGACGCTCTCCCCAAGGACGTCAAGGGCAAGGCTAGCGAGCTCGCCGGTCAGGCTTCCGGCGCCGCCTCCAACATTGCCGGCAAGGCCAAGGGCGCCGTGAACGAGGCTACCTCCGGCAACCTTTCCGGCGCCGCCTCTGAACTCGCTGGCGAGGCCAAGGGCAAGGCTTCCGAGCTCGCCGGAAAGGCCAAGGGCGCCGCCAACGAGGCGACGAGCGGAAACTTGGGCAGCGATATCTCTGGAAAGGCGTCCGAGATTGCTGGTGAGGCTAAGGGCAAGGCCAGCGAGCTTGCGGGCAAGGCCAAGGGTGCTGCAAACGAGGCGTCGAGCGGTAACTTGTCTGGTGCTGCTTCTGAGCTCGCCGGCGAGGCCAAGGGAAAGGCTTCGGAACTTGCTGGAAAGGCCAAGGGCGCCGCTAACGAGGCTGCTGGTGGTGATGTGCAGGGCAAGGCTCAGCAGCTCAAGGGACAGGCCAAGGGCAAGGCTAGCGAGGTTGCTGGCCAGGCCAAGGGCGCTGTGAGCGAGGGCCAAGGGAAGGCCAAGGGCATGGCGAAGGAGACGGAGAAGATGGCCAAGGAGGCTGGCAAGCAAACTGAGTTCTCTTAAAGGGATTCGACCGCGAGAAGGAATGCGTGTGTAAGATGGATTTGCATTGGGATGAACGGCACCATTCAGTTTTCATAAGGATGGATGATCATACAGGGAAGGCGTTTAGGGATGCGTACTAGCAGTATTGCATCATGATGACCATTACGAAGTTTCTTTTAAATTCAAGAGAGAAGAGTCGAACTGTAATATTATTGCATTTCACGTCTTATCACTGATCGCATCCTTCAAATGTGAACAAAGGTGACGAAAAATTGTATCAGCGCGCTATACCCGACTTCCTATCAAATTCGCCCGAAAAGACAAAGGAAGTCAGGAATATTTCTCCCAAAAACCCGGCACTTTGAAAGCAACCTTCCCACCATTGGCGCTGGCAGTTTTCCCCTTTTTGATGCCTGTCTGTTTTTCTGTTCTTCTCACCCTGGGGGCTCGAAAAACGAAAGACGCAAACGAAGCGAGGAATACTGGTTTTAATGTACCGCTCGGAATACAGAGCTTGGAATCAAGGATTGATCTCGCCTTGTGCTCCACCTGAACGTGCGGAATTTGTGCATGTGAGAAGAAGAAGGGCATGCATGTGACGGGTAATAGGAAGGTAAGGGGGAATGAAATGGTCATAAACTTGGGGAGTGGAAGGGTGACTTGGAAGGGTGCTGAAGGGAGGTAATAGGGGATGGGAGGGATGGGGAGGGAGTAACTCGGTTGGGGAAGAGGAAGAGAAAGAGGTGAGCGTATTACTGTGTAGGTTAGCTGCCGCAAGGATAACATTGTGAAAAGGGGTCAAGCGAAGCGAAGGGGCAAGCCCAACTGAGGTGGCGACGCTAGTATTCTCCTCTCTTCGAGTTCAAGGGATATCCTATGCATATGAGCAGAGAACAGCCTTCTCCTTTAAGTCAGCATTGTCGGGTATCTGTACACAACTTCCATACTCCTCCGTTCGTCTCGTCCCTTGGCACATCGCGTATCGATCGTTGATGTGCTGTTCCCTCCGTGGGGTAGACCGGTGCTGGTGTAGGTAGTCGGATGGTCTTGTCATTCGGGTGTTCGACACTTCAGTTCAGTCGATCTTATCCCCGTCCATCTCGCTTGTGTCGTCAACAAAGTCAACCCCGAACGTTCGTTCGTTCAACCCTCCTCAAAGAAAACCCTCTTAGTCCCCTGACTTCCCCTCTGACTCTCCAACTCCTCCAACTCCCTATCAATCTCCATAATGTCCATCAACTCCGCCTCGATATCTCTTCCCTCCGCCTCCGACTTATCGTCCTCCACGTCCGCGGCAAAGTTAAGGTCGTTGATGAACAACAAGCCCGGATCACGGCCCTGGCTCTGGCTCTGGCTCTGACTTTTGCTTCCTCCACTAAAGGCACTATACGCCATTGTCTCCTGGGTATCAGGTGGTCCTTCCTCGTCGATATCTTGTGTTGATCCCGCGCCGTCGAAGCTTGCGCTTAGTGATTGGGCTGTCTCCTCTCTCGATTTGAGAAGCTTCTGTCCTTTCTCCGGTCGGGCCAAGCTGAGGTTGAACGCCACGGAGCTGGGTTGTTCGGGTCTGGGGTAGGCGAGAATGGCTTTGGCGGTGCCGCTTGTGAGATCCAAATTCAACCTGGCCTTCTTACGGGCAGGCAGGGGTATCAAGTGGCGTTCTGTGGACGAAGAGACGCCGGCGGCTGCTGCGGCGCCGGCTTGGTCATATGCTTCTTCGGTTTCGTGGACGACTACCAATCTACTTTCGCCTAGCAAAAGGGTTTCGATGGGTAGGTGCTTTCCTTCTGTTGACTCGGTGAGGGACCCGGTGGAGCGGGGAATAGCGGTAGCGGCTGTGAGGCGCTCTCCTAGTAGGCCGGCGTTGAGGTCGTGAAGGCGGAGCATTCGCGCCGAGGGTGGGGTGCTGTTGTTCCAAAGGTTGCCTCCGCTTCGCTTGAGCTGGGCGTCCCAGAAGCGGGAGATGATGGGAATGGTGCAGACAACAGGGTTAGTGTAGTCAGCGCCGGTGTTGGAGAGCCACAGGATTGCAGACTCTTCGCCTAGGCCGTTGCGAGGGAGGGGTAGTGGGGAGATGTAGACGCCGCCTTTGATGGTGGCGAGCTTCTCAGGGGCGCTGGCGCTGGTGGAAACCGCAGAGGGTACGACCAGGGGTGCGGATTTCTGTGTGCTGGTAGAAAGGTTGCGCTGGGGCTGAGCGCCGATAGTACGGTCGGTAGTAGTTCCCTCTAGGTAACCCGAGACGCTGAACTGGGTGATTGCTGATCCGCGGAGGCCAGAATTGGCCTTGGTAAAGAGACCAGCCGAGGAGGCAGTGGTCGGGTTGGCGTTATCAATGTCCCAAATACCCCACTGACCATCAGCCAACAGCACAAGGACCGCCCGGCCATGGGCCATCCACTCGGCGCCAACCACGGGCTTGCGAGAAGTGGACATGCCCGTTCCGCGGGCAAATGGCTGGTAGAGGGAGAGTAGCCATGAGCCCTGGGTAGGGAATGGGCCCTCCGAGGCATCGTCTGAAGAGAGGGATGGAAGGGAGTAATCGTAGATTCGCACCGCATGTGCGGGATCCACAACGAGAAGCTGTGTGA